TTTTAGTAGAGATGGGGTTTCATCATGTTGGCCAGGATGGTCTTCATCTCTTGACCTCGTGATCTGGCCACCTCGCCCTCCCAAAGTGCTGGGATTACAGGCGTGAGCCACCATGCCCGGACTTTTTTTTAATTTGAGACAGTTTTCCTCTTGCTGCCCAGGCTGGAGTCCTAAGGTGCAATCTCTGCTCACCGCAACCTCCACCTCCTGGGTTCAAGCAATTCTCCTGCCTCAGCCTCCCAAGTAGCTGGGATTACAGGCCTGTGCCACTAAGCCTGGCTAATTTTGTATTTTTAGTAGAGACGGGGTTTCATCATGTTGGTCAGGCTGGTCTCAAACTCCCGACCTCAGGTCATCTGCCTGCCTTGGCCTCCCAAAGAGCTGGGATTACATGTGTGAGCCACCGTGCCTGGCCTTTCACCTTTTCTTTCTTTAAAGAAATCTGGACTTAGGAACCTGTAAACTAGTGAAGTCTTAAGGTCCATTTCTGTCTCTACCCCATATCTGCAAAGTGCTGTACCACGATTTGAACACCTGGTAATGCATCTGTGCTGGGATGGGGAGCAGGCCCCAAGGAGGAAGCATGGGTGAGGAAGCAGCCAGCCATGCCTGGCAAATTGGCTCTGTTGCAGCAGGCCCAACACAGCCTTTCAGAGGCAGCTGCCTGGGCTCCTGGGCTTGGCGGTGTTCTAAACAGAGAGAACCCGGGAGGAAGAACACACTTGTTAGAAGTGTATTCCAGCATGTTCCACCATCCTTCTGTCTCAATAGATTGGGGTGGTACTGTTTCCTAGGCTCTTCATGGTTCCTTGCTATGCCCAGCTCTGTTCTAAATTCATCTCTATTTCCTCGATAAATATATGAGTGTGGTAAAACATGCAAGTGCTGTAAGCAAACCTTTTTGCCAGTCTTAATTGTCTTGAGTGACAAAGAGCTGACCCTAATGAGAAAGGAAGTCAGACATAAAAAGCACGCACTATTAAACCTTCAAGTCATATGATTGAAAGGAAAATAAAAGGAAAAGATTTAAAAGAGAGAGCCGGGCGCGCTGGCTCACGCCTGTAATCCCAGCACTTTGGGAGGCCGAGGCGGGTGGATCACGAGGTCAGGAGATCGAGACCACGGTGAAACCCCGTCTCTACTAAAAATACAAAAAAAATTAGCCGGGCGTGGCAGAGGGCGCCTGTGGTCCCAGCTACTCGGGAGGCTGAAGCAGGAGAATGGCGTGAAGCTGGGAGGCGGAGCTTGCAGTGAGCCGAGATCGCGCCACCGCACTCCAGCCTGGGCGACAGAGCAAGACTCCGTTTCTCAAAAAAAAAAAGAGAGAGAGAGAGAGAGACCAGAAACTGTCACACACGCCTATAATCCCAGTACTGTGGGAGGTCAAGGCACAAGGATCCTTTGAGGCCAGGAGTTTGAGACCAGCCTGGGCAACATAGCAAGAACCTGCCTGTACAAAAAATTTAAAGGCTGGGCGTGGCTGCTTGCACCTGTAATCCCAGCACTTTGGGGGGCTGAGGTGGGCGGATCACAAGGTCAGGAGATTGAGACCATCCTGGCTCACACGATGAAACCCCGTCTCTACTAAAAATACAAAAAATTAGCCAAGTGTGGTGTGGGCGCTTATAGTCCCAGCTACTCGGGAGGCTGAGGCAGGAGAATGTCTTGAACCCGGGAGGAACTTGCAGTGAGCTGAGATGATGCCACTACACTCCAGCCTGGGCGACAGAGCTAGACTCCATCTCAAAAAAAAAAAATTTTTTTTTTAATTAGCAGGGTGCAGTAGTGTGCACCTGTACTTCCACCTACTTGAGAGGCTGAGGTGGGAGGATGACTGCTGCCTAGGAGTTCCAGGCTGCATATTTCTTTATGTACTGGGTTTTTTGTTTGTTTTTTCTTTGAGACAAGGCCTTGCTCTCTCACCCAGGCTGGAGTGCAGTGGCGTGATTTTGGCTCATTGCAACCTCTGCCTCCTGGGTTCAAGCCATTCTTGTGTCTCACATTCTTGTGTCTCAAGCCTCCTGAGTAGCTGGAATTACAGGTGCGTGCCACCACGCCAGCTAATTTTGTATTTTTAGTAGAGACAGGTTTCGCCATGTTGGCCAGGCTGGTCTGGGACTCCTGGCCTCAAGTGATCTGCCCGCCTCCCAAAGTGCTGGGATTATAGGTGTGAGCCACCGTGTCTGGCCACACTTTTCCTTCTTTGCACCAGGGGAAATTATGTTTTTTTCTCATTTTTGATTTGTATTCGTCCTTACAATGCCAGCCTATTAACTTGCAATGAGGATTGTTCGCTTGTAATGGGTAGACAGCCTCATCCCCGTCAAGGCCTGGCCTCTCTCGTCTGGACTCAGGGAGAAAAAAGTCTGACCGCTGTGTGAGTGTGGCCAGGGTGCAGTAGGCTGGCAGAGAAGGGGTTTAAGAACCATTTCCTTTACCACTAACTTTTAAATTAGTTTTACTGTGACCTTTATTAAAAATACTTTTTTTATTTTTAAGATAGAGTTTCGCTCTTGTTGCCCAGGCTGGAGTGCAGT